CAATGCTGTTAATCTTCCCCTTCTAAATACTAGTTCCATTGCTAATATTCTCTTATGTTAATCTTCCGCAGGATCAGAGGAAAAAATTAAAATTTAACTTTTTAAAGACATCTAAATCTTGAATTCTCCAAATTATTATTTTAAATTCCCTAAAATTTCAGAAGCACATAAAGATACAATTCCCCATTTAATTACTAATAACGTGAATTTTAATAACAAATCTCTGGTTTTGAAGCTTAGAATGAAACGAAGGCCTTATGTGAAATTCATTCTAATTCTAAAATCATTACCTCTAAAGCTGATAAGGGCTGACAGATTGTTGTGAAAAAACACACATACAATTGATGAAGTCATTAACTTCAAAAATGAAGGCCTATAGTGCTCGATCCCTAAGAATCCTTCAATTTCTGACCTCACGAAAGTTAAAACTGTTAAATCTTCTCAAATACTTTCAACTCGGTTTTAAAAATCACTCATTCCATCTACTGCTAAATATGCTTTCCCCAAAGTCGACGTTTGGAATTTTTTTTCGTCCTTTAAGTTTCTGACTTAGAGAGAGCATCACATATTTTCGCCAAATATTTAGTTTCTTAGGCTTCGTGAATTCCATTTCACACATACTGAAATAGGAATTAATTTCTTTTATTAAAGTCTACTTAAGTCAAAACTAATTTGTTTTCAAAAATAAATATTATCGCCAAATTGAGAGATTAGCTGCGGGTAATCCCCTCAGTCCTGTAATTGCTGACATCTGCATTTACTATTTTCAGGTCAAATTATTTGAGGAACTATATTTTCGTATCTGGATTCGCTACATCAACGACACTTTTGCGCTTTTTGAGGGTAATAAAGATTTATCCCAGATTTTATCCGTTATAAATTCGATTGATCCAGCCATTCACTTCTTTTGATGTTGAATCTGAGAATTCCCTTTCTTGATATGATTATAAATCGTAGTGAATCTGATTTTAGCATTACCGTTTACTGTAAATTCTTTTCTGCTTTTTTGCCTCCACAAGCTAAATCATTCTTCAGGCTTAACAAAAATATAGTTTCTTTTTACTATTATGCATTTCGTACTCGAAAATTTCGCTGCTCAGAATCGTTGCTTTCTAATGAAGTCAGTGATTTGCCATCAGTCGCTACTGACACACGACTTTTCTCCCAAATTCTTTGTTAGATTCTTAAAGATTCTGTTTCGGACTTTAATATTCGGGGAGTTTATAGCACATGTTACCAATATATATTGAGATATATCGGATAAATTGAAAGAGCTTTAATGTTTCGCAACAAATATCACGAATCTTATGTCTGAATTTTAAAAAATAAACATATCTCTGATAGTTAATCATTGTGGGAAATTTAATCCTAGTTTTTATTTTGTGTCTTTAAAATTTATGCAGAAAGCTTCTTCAGTTGGTAAACTGGACTTCCTCTAAGTTTCTCACACTCACAAATATTTATCTTGTTTATTTAATGACTTTATAAGGTATTTTTCCCTCCTTCCTAGCGTGCTTTCGATGTGTGGTGGTCTGCAAACTGGGCCGGTATTCCAGAGGTCCGGGGTTTGTTTCCCGGCGAAGGCGTTGCTAATTTTTCATTATTTCTGCCTCCAAAAAATAACCTAATGTCTCTACACTGGCGCCCAAACTAAAAGGGTGTTGGAGGATAATTCTCCGCACCCAGGATTTGGCGATTGGGTCCCCTAAAAAAAAACCCAGTCGCCCTTTAAAAGGCGGAGTATATAAGGTATTTCTTCCGCCTTCCTTGGTGCTACCTTCCTGTTCGTTTTACTGTTTGGCCTTTGGTATAAATGTAGCTTTCTTCTTCGTAGTATTGCTTGATGACGAGGGACGGGCATTTAATTTGCTCGAAATCGATAGACTCTTAGTTAAAGTAAACACCAAACAGAAGGTTGTTCCTTTGCGTAATTTTATGTTATTCAAATATTAACAACATTATTCAGGAGCAGCCACTGTCGAGTAGACCACCAACCGTCACAACCGATGAAAATACACCAGACATTCAAGAACTGCTTTAAATGACACATACATCACCACAAGATAGGTCGTAGTGCACATAGGTGTTCTGTTTTAACGTTAATTCAGAGTTAACGTAATATATGTTCTGTGTTAATTAGAGGCATCTGCGTTAATCTTAATTCAACGGTTGGAATAGAGAAAAATCTGTGATTGCTGGTTTCATAGCTTTTAATAATGCAGATAATGCAAAATCGTGTATTACAATCTTCTACAAAGTTTCTCTTGATATTGTCCAGAATGCTATCATGGAGTCATCCCATGTCATAAAATCTGGCGTTTTCATTTCAATCCTGAGAGCAAAAGGCAGTCAATGGAATGAACGTGCATTCTTGTCAGGAAAAAAGTACTGCAGTACCGCAAAAAAATGGATCATGTATTAAGCAACATTTTCAAAGATTATATCCACAAAAATTTCATTTCTATGGTGCTTACCATTACCGAACTGTAGCGGATTGTAGATTACTTTTTGACCGACTTTTGTGCAAAAAAGAACTGTCAATATTATACAGAAGGACCGTCTCCATCATGACCGCAGATACGTTTACGTAAAGCTTAATTTATTAATATTTCATCGTTTATACAGTGTTTACGGGAATCATTATTTTTGTAATTCAGTTTATCCTTGAAATTTTGTTTAATACAGGTGCGGTGGTTTTTAATTGCTAAAGAACCTTTCAAGAATTAATTTGAAAAATTAAAATCTTTTATTCTGGTAGGTATGAGAATGAGAGAAAAAATAAAAATATAAATTATACTGCATATGTACACTGCAGCTAAAAGTAAAATTTCCTAGACTTTATTTATTATAATGCACTGCCTTGTTTTTTTGTAATTAAATTTTATTTATGCGTATTACATGCATAGCATATTTATTGAACTTAGTACGTGGTGTTATCCTCGACGACACATAACCACAGTAGTTTTTGGAAATATTAATTTTTATTTTTAACTGTTAAAAACAACTTTAAAATTTTTCTGAAACTAAACGTTATCGAAAACGGTTCCGCCTCTTTTAACTGCGATAAGCAGATCTTTGCTGCAAATACAAGAACACCAAAATACTAAAACCGTACTTTCATGAAATAAGCACGCGAAAAAGGCATTAGTTGTCAATAGACTTCTAGATATCTATAAGCATTTTGCAATTATTTTGAATGTACTTTTAATTCATGTTTCACTAAGCAAACACATAACAAATTAACGCAAAAACTGCATTACCATAATTCATAATTATGACAGTATACAAAATGTAACAAATAAGTACTTTTATAGCTGATACAAGAATGAGAGAATTAATGTCAAAAATAAGAAGTTCATATCTCTAGACATATACATTTCTGGATTGTACCATTATATACAAGAAATGTGCAGAACTTCTTTCGCTTTATAAATCTCTCAGTAAGATTCAGTATGTATACCACTGATGAAGTGATAAAGCCCTATTCTTCATCATAGCTTCAAGCACGATCATCTAACCTCTAGTCGCATTATGAAAGTCTTAAGTGTGAAGTCGTGGTTCATCCCTTTCTGATACACAATGTGTAAAGAAAAGCTGTCAAGAAAAACGTATAAAGAACATTTGTACTGATTATAAGACCAAAAAAGCGTAAAATCTCGTCTTTGTCCATTATCATTATATTTGCGCATAAAGAAAGCTCTAGAAATGCTACTTCAAAAAAAAATCTTTTCTGAGATAGCAGAAAATACGGCTATAATTTCCTTATTTTGAATTTTATCTGATCACACTTTATTCTTACATGATATTGTATCCTATCTAAATTAGTAATAATTGATTTCAATGTTGGACTTTAGATTGAATGTCTACGGAAAAAAAATATTCTTTTGATTAAAACAACATTTCTTGTATAAAAGACAATTCTGATTTTAATAACAGAAATTTTATTTTAAAAATAGATTGGACAGTTAAAAGATATTTTTCTTCAAGTCAAATAACATAAACTCTTGAAGAAGGAGAAGTTTAAGTCATTAATACATAGCGCATACGCCAGAATCAAGCTCCGCAAAGTTAACTTTCTGTGGGAAAAATTTGTATGGTATAAATCAGTTTAAGAATGTATGTATAATTTAAACAAACCTAGTATTGTTTCAATTAAAACGAAAAAATCGACATAATTGTTGACTGAAGAGATTTTTATTACTGCTTAATAAGAAAGACAATTATACTTTTATAAAGCTGGAATTTTTGCTTGAGACAATGACTGCCAAACTCTTTGAAAGTTTCGTGGGAAACAGCGCAGAGTTTTGCAATGCCTGTCATAAAGGTTTTCTTTCTTTCTTCATTTGGGACAATCTCAATTGCAAATTCAGGCTATTCCTGTGCGTCTTTTAACAATTCGTTTAACTTCCTGTAATTCAAAGGCTCTTAATCTTCTTTTCGATTATCACTGTTTTCATTGTCAGCTGATATTATCCAATTCTTTGTTCGTCATTTTTCGATTACTTCGTCTTTGACCACTTCTTTTATATCAGAAAATCTCTTTCGCGCTAACTGGTTTTGTAATTTGTACGATTTCTTTGGCTTCATTTTTAATCGATGGAAATCCTACAAAATTATTAACAACTTTCGGCCAGAGTTTATGCCAGCAAGCATTCATTGTTGGTGAATGAATACTACAATGCAGTTTTCTCGTGAAAATCAGCTTTATGCGTATGCAGTTTCATAAAATTGGGCTTAAGTCTTTAGGCTATAAAATTCAGGCAAACGCATAGATGTTGAACAATTAAACAAGAATTTAAATGAACAATTTACTCCCATTTTTCCATTAACTTACGTTTTAGACTGCCTGAGAGTAAACTATGTAAAATTTTAAAATGATTTGCTTTTAAAAAGAGGATTTTAATATTTCTTATTTAAATATTTAATATACTTCTAAGAAATAGATAAACCTCTTAAACTATATATAAGAAAAATGTGAAAGGAATGAGAAAGAAATTTACCTTTTAGACAACATAAGTGCCCCATCAGGAAAAACTTTGAAGATAGTGCTAGGTGTTTTAGGCTCAAAAGTTTCAATGAGTTTTGCAGATTCGTAAAAGATATCAGGAATCCAAATGAAGGTGCGGCATTTATCATACAAAACACTTGAGTAGTTCTTATTCTTATAGGCGTCCAGATTCAATCGGGTATCATTCCATACATTCATGATGAAAAGATGCAGTCGGAAATCCTATAGAAGTAAACACACATAATAACGTGCTTTTTTAATATGAACTTGGAAGCATGCGTTTCAGAAATCAAAATATATTCGAATTCGTAATCTCTGGTTTAAGCAGTTCGTCTAAACAGTTTTAATCAGGCTTATACTGCTGATGCACTCCTGTACTTATTAATTAAAAAAAAAATCCCAAACTGTTAAAATGTGATCTCGGACTATCTTAACCCTCTTTAAGGAAAACGTTAAAGACGGAAGCCCTTTTTTTATTAAAACTTAATCTCTTTAGCATACCTTTGAAGAAATAACCATTTGATGTTCTGATAATTTCCTAAATTCTTCTCTATTGTTTAAACCGTGTGGCGCTCTAGCTAAAATGCTGTAGAAAATAATTCGTCACGACCGGGATTTGGTGGCTGGGTCCCCAATCCTCCGTCACCCTTTAAAAAGGGAAGTGTATAAGGTATTTTCTCCCTCCTTCCAGCATGCCTTCGTGGTGTAACGGTAGCACGCTCGGAGCACAGGTTCCAGTCCCGCCGAGGGCATTGAAAATTTTTCATGTCTCCTGCTTCAAAATAACCTAATGACTCAACAACTTGAATTTGCTGACTCGATCAAGTGGGTGTATGGATATACAGATCAGATAACTGTTCCAGATAGCTCCATTATTACAGTATTACAGCATATCTTGAAATTTGTTAGACAGTTTCAAGAATTAAAATGCGAAAACGGCAAAAATTACAGAAAAAGAACACTCAAATCTTTGAACAGAACAGGAAAGACATACGCATAAATAATAATTATACGTACTGCATGCCTTATGTACACTGTTTGGCCTAGAGATATCTTAAAAAAGTTCCTAAAAAGCTGCCGAGTTATACGGAATGTCGAGATATAGGAAGCTGAGATTGCGGGATTCTACTGTACAACAAAATTGAGCTTGCGTTTGTATTTTGTCCAGAACAAGGCAAATGATGTTGAGATGTCGTCAGAAAAATGATATTAGAAAGAAAGTACTTCCCAGCAATACTCATATATGTCTCTGGAACAGTTCTGTCATAATGGGAAACCATAAAAGACTCGAAAATATTGGGTAACGAACAACGTATTTCTCGTTCTCTAGTTGAAACAACACAAGAAAACGAGAACAAAATTTGTTGTGTAATTGAAAAAGTACACATTCGCTTCCTGGCCATTCTCATGAATCATTATTGCATGATTACGTGGCTTTTCGGAAGATTTGTTGCATATATATTTCCCACGATAGTGCAGAAGCAAGCACGCGTAGGCATAAAACATAATTTCCTGGCCCCTGACGCATAAGCTGCTACCTTTATCTAATGCAGTCTCCTTGCGGAACGGTGCTTGCTACACCAGGGTGCCTGAGCCTAGGCTGTACCTCTTGTAGAATAAATTGGTAGCTCCGAAGATTGATATTGATTAGCCAAACATTTCAGGATATGACATTTTTAATTAATTAATTTAATAGATAAAGATAAAGCTTAGATTGGCTTGAATTAAATGAGAGTATGACTAACAAGAGTGGTCATAATACGAGGTGTGAATGAAGCTGTTACGTGAATAAGGCACAGAGGCTGTCGAGCTGGTGAGAAAAGTGCATAAAACATATAAGTACAAATATTTGTAGCTTAAATCCACAAAAACGAGTAAAATAGGAATACACAAATATTTGTAGCCTAAATCCACAAAAACGAGTAAAATAGGAACACACAATATAAAATGCATAATAGAGAATACAGAATACCATTACATAACGCTCTATCCAATACGATCAAACAGGTTCTGTTTAAACGGTTTCTGTGCTTTTCCTATTAATAACTTGTAGCTCTTTGAATAGGCCTTAGCATCTTCCATCATACTGACAGTGTGAAGTGATGTAGGAAGCCAAATGCTTTCTTTATACAGAATAGCACAGTAAAATAACGCATTAAAATGTATGATTGAAACTCATACCAAATATAGCTACGCCATAGACATTGCATTGAACTTTGCAGGAAGAACATTTTGGAAACATATGATGATTGAAACCTTATATCGAATACAGGCACATCATAGATGCTGTATTCAGCGGCAACATTCTGGAATCATTAAGACGTTCAGCAAGTTCCAGTGCCATAGATTATAGAATCCGTTACTGTGGAATGTTAGTCCTCCCAAACTCTTCTGAATGTTTTTGTAGGGCTTTATTATTATTTTATTTTATTTTGTTTTGTAGGGTTTTATTTTTAAAAATCTTAAGTCTCGTGTTTTAAAATGAAGTGGAAACGTGAGCTTAAATTATTAAATTGTCAAATGACATAAATAAGAATTTTAACTGTAAAGTCATTAAAAAATTAGAACATGTAATTCGACATGAGTTGTGTAACATTGGTGTACTCAAAGAAGTATATTTTTGAGAGTAGTAAGTTGCTTCTTTATCGCATTTCATTAACCTTGGTTGAAAATCATAGTTTTACGAAATTATAGTTTTGATTGTCGACTTACCATTCACCACCCAGTGTCATACAAGAGCTCACTTATCAACCATAGGGTGCAGATAAGCTGTTTGAGCATAAGAAAATATTCAGCAACTTTTGCTTTTACAGTGTGTGTATGTTTACCTATCTATTTATATAGACAGATAAATGGATAGATGTACTATATGCATAGAATTACAATCTTTAGAACTTAAATCAATATTTACTGTTTCTTCTTACCATTCTTTCTTCATTAACTTCACCAATGTCTAGCACTTGAAATCCTATGTATATATCTATGGGCTTACCTATAAGGAACAAATATGAAAGATACGAAAAGATAATGTACTTTCTAAACATGATATAAATATGATAATATGCAAGTAATCGAACATAGTAAAACTATTTACCGTTGTTTGTTGGAGCCTTGTGTATTTCATAGTTCTCAGGTAGAAGTTCTCTGCATACTTGATCAGATGCTGAGCTGCTGCGTAAAATATGGTAAGCATGTCAAAATCAAATTATATTTTCTAGCTTTCAAAACACGTAAGTTTCTAAAAAATAAAATGTTTCCGATAATGAGGGATATACATTTTCATAGTCTTCTCTCTGTATGTATGGGTGAGGTTTTTGATATAATAAAGCAAATGCATTTTAATTCTTGTGCATAATTATTTACCAATTGTATTGCTTTTTATTTACATTTAAATTGATAGAAATAAGAGGGAGTGCATTTTTCCGGTTTCAACTATGTTCTTCTTTTTTTCAGAACCGTAAGATTTCTTCCTGCAGTTAACTCCCCCCTCCTCCAAAAGAGGAGCATTTTCACTTAATTACCTCAAATGGTTTTCTTGATTGATTAGGTCTTAGAACTTAAGTCAACTGTATATTTAGATGTTGAAAATTAAACAATGCTTCGTTCACTTACGTTAAACAAACGGATGAAAATAAAAAATAATCAAACATATAAATAATATTAACAAAAATAACATGAATTTTAATAAATATAAAATGTTTAAAAAAGGTTTTTAAAAAAATGAGCTTTTACTTAAAACTCATATAACTTAATAAACTAAAAGGGGCTAATAAATAAATAACGTTATTTAATTAATTAAATAATTAATTAATAAGTTAATAAACTAAAAGTTATTACGTAGTTAATAGGAACAGTGGATTAAATAAAAATATTTAAAAAAAAGGTTTATAAGGTATTTCTCCTGACTTCTTGGCATGTCTTCGTGGTGTGTTGGTCTGCACGCTGGGCGCGTATTCCAGAGCTCCGTGGCTCGATTCCCGGCGAAGGTGTTGCTCATTTTTCAAGGTTCTTGCTTCCAAAATACCTAATGTCTGTACAGGTTTTTAAAAAATAAGATTTTATTTAAAACTCATAATGCAATTAAAGAACCAAACGGAGAAAATAATTATGTATTTAATGGGAACAGAAGATTAAAAAATCTCTATATAGAATTTATATACAATTTAGCATCACGACACGCTTTTATTTAATTCTTTTATGATTTTTAATGAAGGCACATTTTTTAGAAACCCTTTTCTTTAATATTTTTTTTATCTTTTTAGTCTCAATGACACGTCAAATTACAATCAGTCAAATAACTCAATTAAATATCAGCTTTTGAACAACAGTATCTAATCAGTCGCCCAGACGGTACAGTGTTTAGGGAAGCCGACTGCTATACCAGAGGGCCCGGGTTCTCTCCCGGAGAAGGCCTGGTTGTAATTGTCCGTCCCTTCATAGGAATCAAAGATGGCCCTCCTATTAGCACCCTCCATAATAAAGTGACCACCACTTCTGCCTTAGTAGTGGTGGTTACTTTATTATGGAAGCACCTGAAAAACTGGATTACTGTGAGCCCTTACAATAGCAGGCCCTCAACCGACTTGGTCACTATACTAAGTACTACTACTTAGTAATGGCCAATCGCAAGCCTGCCATTGGTAATATATATATATATAATCAATCTTCTAAAAATTCTGTTACATGAAGAGGTCTGTGATGTATTTGTTTTATTTAATTTTACCCAAAATTTTTACCTCAAAAAGTTTAGCCAAAAAAAGAAAAATTTACGCGAAAAACAGAAATAAAGTTAAAAACCTCAAATTAACTTCATTTAAAAACTTTTTATTTCCACTCTAACACTAACCGATGGTGCAAATAATAAAATTATATGAATTTTAGTTTGTTCATTAAAACAAAGATATATGCTAACAATATTTTCAACATTACATTTCTAAAAACTCTAATCAAATTTTGAAAACTTCCTCACTGCATTGTATTGTCATCCAGAATGAGTGTGTATGCAAAATTTGGCTTCATAGCTTTTAAGGAAATAGTTTAAAAACCGACGGTAAATATCTGACCATAGTGACCAACACCATATGAAAGTTAATTAAAAGCTTGTAAAAATATAGCAGGTTTTAAAAAAATCAGACAGTTTAATAATTAATATTTTTTCTTTTGTGTATGTTTCTTATTTTAAAACAAGGCGAAGAGTTTGTCTTATAATCTTTGAAATTCAAATGTTTATCAGAAATATGTTTTTGGATGTTAGAATTTGAAAGTCCAGTAAAAAATGTAAAATTTCGTACCATAATAAAATTAAGAAAGCTAGCTATTAAAATGAAATGCTGAGAAAAAAGTATATGAATTTATGATACAAAAAAAAATAAATTAAAACGACATGCTAAATTTCATTGGAAATAATTTTTAACTCCACTCAAACAGCTCTCTTAGTTTTTGTAATTAATGAAATTAACTGAAAATTTAGATCTATGCATAAAAAGGGGGGGGGGTAGATATAGCATTTATAAAATGGCAATTTTCTCTTATAAGCTGCAAGAGTAACGGGACACACAGCTCAGAGTAACGGAGTGACAACGGCTGCGGGTAGTGACGTTATGACGTCATAATTTGAACTATATTTCGAAGCGATCGCCAAGAAACAATACATATCGTTTACCCTCTGCCTATTACTGAAGTATATTTTTAAAAGCAATATAGGAAATCACACAATTAATGTTTTTTTCCTCAATCATTCTTGCTTTAGAAACGGGCGATGAGTTTATTTTATAATCTGTGAAGAGTCTAAATCTTTGTAACTGATAACTTTTTAAATGTTAAAACTTTAAAATCATAAACGTCGAATTGTCGAAAAAAATCGAGTGATTAAAAAAAAAAATTCGGCGAAAAGTCATACATGACATTAAAACTTTGATACAAATTTCTTTCAAAAAAAGATGTTTTCTCCCGCTCTACTCCATGACGCAAACATAAATTTCTAATATTTTTATTTCTTCCTAAAACAATGATACGTGCAAAAAACTTTTAAATACTAAATTCAAAACATTTAAATCGAATTTAAAAAAAATCGCTTCACCACATTATAATGTCATCCACAATCAGTGTGCTCACATGATTTAAACTCGGTAGCTTATCAGCAAATAGATTAAAAATCGATTAAACGTTTTGGCCATATGGGGGACAAATACCACGAGTGAACTAAATAAAAGCTTAGAAAATTGAACACTGCACGACATAAAAAATAACAGTAAAAGAATTCGAGCAGAACGCGGATATTGAGCAATTTTCCTATTTATAGCACCGGAAATATCGTCAATTCTCAAAATCACAAACAAAATAAAGTCTAACACGCAACTCAACTAACTTTCTTTGAACTACTGAATCTCACAATTGATTAACAGCTAATTCTCAGAGCCCGATCGCGAAAACTTAGCCTATAGCCATCAAGACATTTAGCCGACACGGCGTTTAGGCGTCAGGATATTTAATCAGCAAGGGTATTTAGCCAGCACGAACAATTAGCCGACAGCATATTTAACCGACAGCACGTTTAGCCGATAGCACTTTTAGCTAACAATGTGTACATTTAGACAAAAACATAAACCATTATTAAACCATACAACAATGGTCGTCCATATTAATCAGACAAAAGGCTATTACCAGGAGAATGTTTGTGGATCAGTACCACATTTTGGTCTTATTTAATGCTTTACAAAGTATATATATTAAAGTTAGACAAAAAAAAAAAAAAAAAAAAAAAAAAAAAAGCAGTCTTTGGTTGGCGTAGATTTTGAAATCAATTTCGAGATCAATCAGCTATGGGAAAACAAAATATTAGCAAGAGGAGGAGAGATATGGTTTTATATCTCTCCTCCTTTAAATGTAGCATGATTAACCAAAGCACACGGGGATTAAAAGTAAATCAATTAATATATTAGAATTTTGAAAGGTTTGGGAACAATTAGATTTGAAAATTAACGTCTTTAACTAAACATTGAAAATTTTTGTTAATGTGAAATGGTTCACAGTAATCCTTTTTTCGAACTGAGAAAGCTTTACGGTTAATGTTAGTTGATCCAAAATCAAAATTATACCATTAAGTGTCCGATTATGATGAACTATCGAAAATTTGTTTATTTCTCCTTTTCAAACTCGCAATTCATGTTCATTGAGGAGAAATGGGATCTCTAAGAATTAAAGAACGAATTTTACTGAAAGCTGAGAAAATGATTTGAAAGTTTTACTTATGGAAATTCCGAGCAATTTTGCAGTTGAAAGAAAAATTAAATAGTTACTAATAACTAATTACTAATTTAATAATAACTAATTTTACACTGTCGATTTTACATTGGTGTAATCAATCATATCATGTCCAATATATTAGATTTCATCTGACAAAGCTATGCAGTTTGTTTCGCACTATAAAACACCAAGTCGCATTTTGCTACCGTAAGCACGCATTCTTTGTACCAAAATTTAATTGCCATGAGTTCAACTTATACAAACAGCAATCTACAAAAAAGAACATTACTGTTAACATTTAGGAAGCTTTATTTAGCATCATGCTAAAAAATAAAATAATACTAGGCAAGCAGATCACTTAACATATAATAGTACGTGTGAGCTAAAACAGGCCCTGTAATTTCTGAAGTCAAAATGTCTTAACAGTGCCTTTGACTTTTGGAATTTGCAGTTGTAATGAGATATTTATCTTAATGTATCCTTGTATTATTCACTTTTATGAAAATAGCTTGAATATTAAATTAATGGTGTTTAAATGAAGAGCAATTTGTTGTATCTATTTGTAGAGGGCATTTTGGCTGAATAGAAAATTTCTCTGTGCTGTAACGACCTTAGGATCTACAGCCTTGCGGAGAAAGTAACCTGCTAGAAACCCACTGAACGATTTTTCTCATGACCAGGCTGCTAGGCATCATATGAATCATATAATGTTTTATCCCCGGTTTTTATCGTCTTATCTGTTTCCTGACTAGTGGAGCTGTCAGCGATAAATCTTTAGTAAAATCAAGTCTGTGCCTGCAACCGACATGGATATAAGGCCCTCGTTTATGTATTATTAGCTACGATGATCCTATTTTCCAGTCCAACCTCTAGAGAAAGAAGAGAGAGCTTGTATAATTAGGGTCGCATATTCTTCAATCTTTAGCATTTCAGATTCCACAAGCTTAACAAGGCGTTTAATTATTTATTAATGTGTTATTTTTACGCCGAATTTGGGGTTAAATTTTTTACTTTGCCTTCCATTTCCTTACGTGTTATATTGCTTCCTT